CATATCTTAATTCAACATATGATTAAAACAACACATAGCATTCATTGTTGATGTGCAATTTCCCATTATGAAGACACAAGAATATTGCAAAGTTGTATGGATTTTGAAATAACATTTAGAAGATTTTATTTTTATAATAGAAAATTCTATTAAAATTATTGCAAATTTCATTTAACTTGCAAAAATCAAGAAAATGTTAAGAAAGGGGTGAGACAATAAAGGTGAAAGAAAGGGAAACCATATCAAAATTAGAGATTCTGATTATTTAGGGATTTCCATGATTACTATGCAAGTCATTGATAAGGATTAAAGCAATGCATTCATTAAAAAAGCATACTTAATGGTATATGTACAATGGGACTTTTTACCTAATAGTGGGTTTACCTGTGGTTCTCCTAAAAGTGTAATACCAAGAGATAATTTTCGTTTTTGTCCACCACTTAAATGATTAGCTTGGGTGTTTTGAATGGCCTTGATGTCCAAGAGTGTCAACAATTTTTCAACCTATAAAATACATACATTTCATTTATTTTGCACTTCTTACCTAGAAATTCAGTCTCTTAACTGAATGAAATAAATGGACAGGTAGTCCATATATTTTATATACTTAGTTTGTACAGTATGTTTGGATCTTATTTATGTTGCTGCTCATCTTTGAAACATTTTAAAATTTTGTTGACTATTTAGCTTGAATGTATTTAGTTGTATTGACCTTCCAACAGGTAAGTAATATTTTATTGTAAATCAATATCAAGCACTGAAAGTTTAATCCTTCATTTAGGCAGACCAGATGCCTGAAATTTACATGGCCATAGTTTGCACATTCTTTTCCTGAAGAAGCCAAATTATATTCACCAAATGTTTGTACTTCAGGGTTTTCTTGGCTTCTTTGCCAAGGTTTAAAAATAAGCTTTAGCTTATTAATCTTATTTTCATCATTTCCCTTGACCGTTAATTGGTCAGATTCTTGTAAAGAGTTTAAATTTGCAATAAATCTTTATATTCATTTGAACTGCCTGAATCTTCTGACTTCCCTGGAGTTTGACATTAAGTTGATTATCTACACATTTGTCCTACTGATTCCAAAGCATAAGTGAAGTTTTCTAGAATGGACTGGCTAAATACAATCAGAGGAGAATAATGTTATCAAATCTAAAGGAACGGTGTCCTACAATGGAAGAAGTGAAAAGGGGAAAATGTAGAACATAACACCTGTGCAACACAAATCTGTGCAGAACAAGATAATATGACCGAATCCATTATTACCTCTTTTTCTACAGCATTGGATGGTATCCCTTTTATTTTAGCAAATGTTTTTAAGTTTTCTCTCACTGTTAAAAATTCAAATTGAATATTCCATTTTGGACAGATAGCACTTATTTCCCAAATCTTTTCCATATGTTCCTTTTCCCATACATTGTACTTGAATATGGATGCAAAACCTGTAAGCAATAATAAAATGATTACATAGAGAATTTTCCAATTAAACAGGCTGCTATTACTTTAGAATAGGTTGAATTGAAAGACTGTTTTTCAAATGGGCTTTTCTGTTGTTTATCCAATTTATTATAATATATGCTATTAATGACTGTCTTCCTAAGGATAGTTTTACCCTTAGCATTAAAGGGAATTGTTACCCCCTACCCTGCCGCAACAGGTGCTGGTCTGTACTGCAGTCTGGGAGCTCTGCAGGATAACATGGAGAGGAAAAGCTTTCTCCAGCTTCCCTGCTCCACCAGATGAAGCCATTCTTGATGCAGGATACTCCAGTTTCCATTATTCATCTATTCACCTAACATTAGGATGCTACGCTTGGAGCTGCACTTAAAACAGTCGGAGCTTCAACTCAGTATTAACTCCTGGTGACTCCCTTGACTGGTCTTTACAGTTTTCCTGCTAAGGTTTCAGAAGTGATTTGCCCTTACCTCCTTCCTAGAGCGGAGAGGGAGTGGCTGGCCAATGGTTACTGACCTTGCTTTGTGTAGCAGGACTACAAGTCCCAGTCTTCCGATCCCTATCATGCCTTAACCAGTACATCAAACTAGCTCTCCTTTAAAGACTACTGGGAAGAAAATTGCTAAACATTTTTCAAAGAGACATCAATATAAATCTGCATAAAGGAATAACAATATAAAATGTCATGTCGGTACTAAAATAATACAGGTAGTCCTTGAGTTACAATCACAACTAAACCCAAAATTTATGTTGTTAAGTGAGAAATTTTTCAGAGAGTTTTGCCCCATTGTAAAACTTTTCTTGCCACAGTTGTTAAGTGAATCACTGCACTTGTTAAATTATAACACGGTTTGAAGGCAATCTGGCTTCCCCATTGACTTTGCTTGTCAAAAGGTCATGAAAGGTGAGCACATGAACACTGCAACCATCATAAATATGAACCGGTTTTCAAGCATCTGAATGTAAATCACATGACCACGGGGATGCTGGTCATGTGCCACTTTTTTGGTGCCGTTGTAACTTTGAACGGTCACTAAATGAACTGTCGTAAGTCAAGAACTATCTGCATTTAACTAAGACTATAACATCTAATCTCTGTTGTTCAACTTATAAACTGATTAAAATAATTACTGCCTTATATATGAAGTTTCACAAATCTAGGAAATCATAACAAAATCACAATCTTATGTTAAAAAAACTTTGAATTTAGAAAAAATGAAAATTGACTTTTACAGCTTCATGGAAAATTAAACTTTTATAGTCATAATCATTTATAGATGATACTTCACTAGAGAACAACAGCAGAAAACGGCTATTGTGGTTTTTCCCAAAATACCTAGTTCATTATTATGGAAACCAGGAAATGGACTAGTCTGGACCAGGATCAGATCCAACAGGGCTGCATTTTTCTAAACGTACTTTGAGATTTGGCTGGCATTTGAATTCATTTCAAAATTTTCATTCTTACCATCAGATGGTTTGGAAAGTCCACTGAGGATGTTTAGCAATGTAGTTTTTCCAGATGTGCTATGACCAAGTATTGCAGTGATTTGCCCTTCATAAATATCCAGGGACAATCCTAATATATAAAGAGGTCATGTTTGCTGTATATGATAAATGGTACATTGAGGCAACTAGCACCGAGTTCTTCACATTTTTTATCCTGAATTTAATAATTGTTATTGATTCTAGTGCCAGTTATTTTTTCTTTTTGCTGGCACTCATGCAACCAGTTTTCCCCAGGACTTCCTATCAAGATGTGGGAGGAAATTAAACAACAATTTGACTTTCCCTTTTCAACCAATGCCCAGAAGGCTGATGGAGAATGTAGAGATGAAGGTGTAAAAGCCCTGGAGATTGGTCAGAAAGATGAGCTTTGAAAGTTACTTAAATGTAATTGTTAAATTTAAAGCATCTCAGGAAGCTTTCTCTACAAGAAGGAGAGCAGAAATGTCTGTGTTAGGTGCTATCTTTTCACATGAGCCACAATAGTTTGGAATACCTTCTTTGTCCCCAAAATCCCATATCTTAATAAAATCATGTCAGTTTACTGTATCTCATGAATTGCTGACATTTTGATCTCTGAGATAACATGAGAGGTCAGACAATAATTATAATCTTTTATAAATTTACTGTTTTCTGGCCAAACATCTAATGAGATTTCACGTGAAGAACCCAAACATTTAATATAAATAGGTAATCTTAAGTTGTGCCCATTTTATTTAAAAAATGATCTAACTTTCAAGCTTCAATGATGGTATTTACGTAGGTTATAGATGCTCTGCTTCCCAAATGTTTTGTGCTATTTCTGTCCTATTTCATAGAATCAAAGCTATAATATATATTCTAAAGTTCAGGTATCTTACCTTTCAAAGCTTCTTCTTCTGTGCTTTTCATTTTATAATTTTTTTTAATATTATTTAGTCTAAAAAATAGTAAAATAGTTATTTGTCAGTATATTGTGGAATTTTTCTTACAAATTTCAGAATCACTCAAAATATCATGTTGAAATAGAGAATATTAGTTTAGCATTCAATATGTTATAGTAAATATTAGACATGACATACATTTTCCTCTGGTATATGTTCAATAGACTAATTAAATAAATATAAAATATAACATAATAAATAATAAATAATAAAAGACAATACAGATAGTCTTCAGGCTAGGATAGCACATTGCTAAATGATGTGGTTGTA